AAAATGGTGATCAGAGTTCTTAACCTGGCTTGGCAACCAGGACAAGTCAGTGAGATAAGACTGTGCAGGCTCTTACCTTGTCCAGGATGCTGTGCCACACGTCATGTCATGTTCCTTGGTTCTCACCAGAACCTGAGGAGGGTGGCGCTTTACCCATTTTGCAGACGAGGCCATTCAAGAGTGGACCCTGCTCAGACAGCAGCCTTCTGAGCCAGGGGGAAATGCAGGTTGCCTCTGCTCAAATGCAGTGTGCTTTTCACTAAGTGCAGTGACCTCAGTTGGAAAAGCTCCTAACTGTACAAGACAATTAAAGGGAGGTGCCAAGCAAGTGACTCAAAGATCACTCTGACATGTTACAGTAACCAATGGTGGCCGGTGACTTCAGGAAAAGAACACTTTCTTAAGAGTAAATGTAACAGGATAGGAAACACAGAGCTCTCTGAGCCTCTGCTGAAGTCCCAAAGGCTCCAAGTGACCCAGACCCCAGGGACCCCCAGATCCTCCAGAGGGGCTGCCTAGAAAGAAGGTACAGAAGGGGCGGGGATAGCACGGGTCATGGTGCAGTGGAGGGAGGAGAAGGCGCAGGAGGTGGGGAGGAGAGGGTGTCTGTGGTGAGAACGACTGGGTGTGGTGTATACCCTCCTACCCCAGGGGCCATAAAGGGAGGTGCCCTCTGGGAGCTGATGTCCCTGGGGGTCAGCTCAGGAGGCCACCTGGAGAAGAGCTGCACTTTGCCTGGGAGGGTCCATGAATAGGAGGGAGGACTGTGGGGGAGAGGGCCCCCACTCAGCGTGGCCATCAGGGTGTGGGCAGAGGTGACCATGCCACCAGGTGAGCTCATGTACTCCTTGCTTCCGTCTCTCCTCCTCTGGGCTCATCCTAAGACTACTCCAGCCCCTGGCAGAACTCAGGTGCTCCAAAGACCCAGATCAGTGATGCCTTTAACCCAGTTTAAAGTACTGGTGTTTGGGGAGGATAGAAACAGATTTTCCTCTTCTCTTTTTTGAGGGGTGAGGGGCTAAGAAATAGCACTTAACACAAGGCCATGCACCCAACAGTCCGTTAAGTTCCTGCAGACGCAATTGCTTGTCTTGCAAGAGATAACAGCAAACAGATCTTTCCCTCCCATTTTCTCCATCCCTCTTTGACTTTCTAACTGCAGAAATACAAGTCAGGACTTTGGGAACTGTTCTTCATCGATTCAGAAATCGTGGAATAAAATGAAATCCTTCTATTTCATCTCAAGTCCTGAGGCATGATTAATAGAGGTGGAAATAATGGTGAGGTGGCCAGGCTGATTTGGGCTCCTGGGAGGGTACTTGAGGAGGAAGACAGGGGTTTGGACAGAATAAAGGATGTTGCCTTCCAAATCTTCAATTAAAAGTAAACCTGTCTAAAACGGAGACATCTCTACTCTTCAAACAGCAAAGTTATCTCTGGAAATAGCCAAAGGAGTAAGTAATTATTATAGAGTGGCACAGATAATTATGGACAAGGTGGAAAGTACATATAGAAAACATGATTAATTAAAATAGTAAGTTAGTTCCAATGACCTGTCATCAGGTCTGATGGGATTTTGTAATATTCAGAAATTCAGCTGTGAAGCTATGGAATTGGAGCGCAGTTTCGGTGAGGAGGAACAGAAGGGCCGAGGGCTACTCCAGCCTCGCCTTGGGGGAGGGCACATGGTGGAGAAATACGAACTCTGTCTTTGCTTCTGGTAGATGTGACACTCAGGAATGTTCCAGAAGCTTGTGCCAGAAGCTTAGGGGAAATTCCGTCACCCCACACCTTTCTGTATGATTTTTATTTTTGTCCATGCTTGCCCCAAACTGAGTCTTAATGATTAAGTGTTGTATGGTAGCTAACGGCAGCCTTCAATTTATTGACCTAATACTTTTAGTCGCAGTATCTTTGCTATGTTGGTGGAACAAATATTACTTAAGAAGTAAATGTGTGATTACCATTTATACAAACCTGGGTACATAACATATATACAATTTTATATGTAATGTATATTTACTTGTAAAAAATTCAGAAGTTATTTCTATTCATTTATGTCATATTTATAATTCATACAATATATACAATCAGGTCACCACCAAAACCAAATTCTACATAATCCAAAACATAATTTGGTTTTGGTGGTGACCTGCTTCCAGGGCTTAAGCATCCATATGTACTTTATTTTTCTTTATATTAAGAAAGAAATACTCTACACATGAATCATTGATAGACTCATTCAGTTTGGCAAAAATGAATAAAAAAAAAATATATATATATATTTTTTTCTTTTGGTATACAAATCTATGAAAGGAATTGGGTTTGACCCAAAGAGGGCTTGAGGCTAGACATTAGGTTTGGGATGGGCATGAGCCTTTTATAACATTTGTTTGGGATTCTCAAATTCTAATACCTCTGCTAATGAATGAGTTACATGGGAATGACAGGGGGCCTCATACCCTATAAAACATTTTTAATGGCTTGTTTTGATATGAGACAACATTCTATGCAGAGGATTTAACAAATTAAGATATTAGATATTTTCATGTCAAAGAAAATCCTTAAAATTTTGCTCTTTTTTTTTTTAATTTTGCTCTTATTTTTAAGAAATGGCTTATTTTGCCTCTTGATCATCTTCAGCATGTTCACTGCCTAGAATGTACAAATGAGTTCTTTGCATTTTTTTCACCCACATAAGCAGGTTATGAATCTGTTCACACAAAGAACTTGGTACACTGTCTTGTGCAGAGTAGAGTGGGTAAATAAGTGTTTATAATTGTTGGGTTGACCACTCTAGACCTCTCTCCCAGAGGCTCCTAAGTGGGGTCCACAGAGTGTGCTCCAAGTTGTTTACCAGTGTGTATGAAAGAGGGCATTGTGCATTTTGGGAGTGAATTCTTTCAAGAGAGAGAATGGTTGTAGTTGTCTCTGGGGATGGAGGTCTGAACGGTGAAGAGGGCCACATTCCTGAGCAATGGCGGCTGGTAGACAAGAGCCCGGGGTGGAGAGAGGGGCATCAAGAGTTGTCTCTCAGGTGAGGCTGGTGTCCTGCTCTCCACACGAGTGGAAAGGAGAAATCCGAGGGAAGACAAGGTTCTTTACTGTGTTGCTCTTTGTGAGCTGGGAGACACAGCCATTGGCTTTTCCTGGTTTTTCCTCTGTCCTTTCCCCTTTCACTCTTTCCAATCTCCTGTATTATTTCGGAAGCCACTTTTGTTCAGTGTGACTCACGTGCCCATTTTCATAACTGTGAGTGAAGCGCTTTTTTAGTTGGGTGTACTTGGTATTTGAGTTTTATAGTGAATTGTCTTTTCTCTCTTTCCTTCTTGCACTTCTCCCAATCCTCCCTTTTCTTCATAACCAATTCTTATTTGCTTTTTGGCATTAAAGCTTAGCAGAGAATTTAAAAGCATATCAAAGACCTCAAGTATCTCTATTCTTATTAGGTTGATTATACCATGATTGAAACATTGGTGAAATTAAAATTTTAGAATTTAAACAATGACTCTGTTGATCCTTTATAATGAAGAGGTGTGACTTTATCGTTTTCCTTGTTTAAATAATAGCAAGATTATTTGTTTTGTATAGTATAGTTGGAGAAAGGATTTCATTTATGTAAATATAAGCGAAACATAAAAAAAATAAACCTAGTCTAATAGTAGTCTTTCTCTACTCTTGACCAGATTAGGAAGAAGCAACAAGAAGTAGTGGGCTTTTTGGAAGCTAATAAGATCGACTTTAAGGAATTAGACATTGCTGGAGATGAAGACAATAGGAAGTGGATGAGGGAGAATGTTCCTGGAGAGAAAAAACCTCAAAACGGAATTCCTTTGCCCCCCCAGATCTTCAATGAAGAGCAGTATTGTGGGGTGAGTATTTGGTTTCTTGGAAAAGTCTTCTGCATGTATGTTTATCAGAAATTGTTTAAAACAGATTACTTTGGGGGCACCTGGGTGGCTCGGTCTATTGAGCATCCAACTTTTGATTTTGGCTCAGGTCATGATCTCAGGGTCATGGGATCGAGCCATGAGTCCAGCTCCACGCTCAGTGGGGAGTCTGCTTGAGATTCTCTCTCTCCCTCTCCCCCTCCACTCTCCTTCTCTCTCTCTTTCTCTCAAAATAAAATAAATAAATCTTAAAAAAATGGCTAATTTGGAGGCAGCATTTGAACTTGTTGATAGTTTTCAGGACATGATCTATTTCTACTGATACCTGGATGGTAGACCCATTGTAAGTCATCAATATATAAGATTCACAAAAGGATAGAAACAATAAAATGGTGATTTGGAAGTTCTTGGGATTATTTTAGGCCCCTTATTTTATTTTGAAGAGTGGAGGTCACTTGTGCAAACAAAGTATGCATTTAGTTGGAAAGGAATTCTGATCAGCCTCATGATGTACACATCCATGAATCCAGGTAGACAGAGGGTTGGCTTTCACTTTCATAAAGAATGATTTGCAGAAGCCAAATCTTAATACAGATACAAGACAAGTGTGTGGAAACGTATCTAGATAGTTTAAAAACTGTTCTGGACCATTTTGATTACAACAGCAATTTTATTTTATACATTTAATAGTTCATTTCACCAGAAAATCACCTCTGCCTCCAGTTCTTTACAGTTCTGCTTAGTAAATCAAATTGTTGAAAAGAAACATTTAGGGCGCCTGGGTGGCTCAGTTGGTTGAGCGACTGCCTTCGGCTCAGGTCATGATCCTGGAGTCACAGGATCGAGTCCCGCATCGGGCTCCCTCCTCGGCAGGGAGTCTGCTTCTCCCTCTGACCCTCCCCCCTCTCATGTGCTCTCTCTCAAATAAATAAATAAAATCTTAAAAAAAAAAAAAAGAAAAAAAGAAAAGAAACATTTAAAAACTCAAAGCACTTCAGAGCATGAGAGCTGGAGGTTATCTTAGGGGTCATCTAAGCCTTGTAGGTCATCTTTCAGATGCAGCCAGGGCTCTGGAAGGCAGAGGGAAATGATCAGTGTTGTGTTGCTTCCGAAGGCTGGAGCCAGCTATGGGACTCTTAACTCACGTCTTCTCTTCTTGCACTCAACTGTTGGTTCTTTAGGTTAGCTCCTTTTTATTATTATGTTTCTCATCTAAAGCAGGTATGGTCCAATTAAAGCCTGAAGGCCGATGCCCGTAGCTACCTGTTTTAGTAAATAAAATTTTACTGGAACACATCCACACTAATTGATTCACCTATCACCTATGGCTGATTTTGCACAATGGCAGAGCTGAGTTGTTGCAGCAGGGACCATATGACCTGCAAAGCCAAAAGTGTTTACTGTCTGCCCACTTACAGAAAAGCTTTTGGGCCTGCCTCTGATTTGAAGCACCAAGTGTTTGATTATTGGAGGTTTGTCTTTGTTTCATAGGACTGATGTAAGAAAGCACCACAAGCAGGGTGGCTGTTATGGGCTGTATGTTTGTGTTCCCCCCCGAAATTCATATGTCGAAGCCCTAACCTCCATGGTGATGGTATTTGGAGATGGGGCCTTTGGGAAGTGATCAGCTTAGATGAGGTCATGCTGGTGGGGCCTTCCTGATGGGATTAGTGCCCTTAGAGGAAGAGAGAGCGATCCCTCTTACTTCACCATGTGAGCACACAGCCAGAAGGCATCTGTCCTCACCAGAACCCAACTATACTGGCACCCTGGTCTCAGACCTCCAGCCTCCAGAGCTGTTGTTTAAGAGCCCCCTGCTCTGTCTGGTGTGGCATTTTGTTATGTGACCCAAGTTGACTAATTCAGTGTCTTAAAATAACAGAAATGTACTCTTGCACAGTTCTGAAGGCCAGAAGTCCAATAGCAAGGTGTCTGTCAGATTGGTTTCTTCTGGAGGCTTCGAGGGAAGATCCGTTCCATGCCTTTTTCCTAGCTTCTGGTGGTTGCCAACAACCTTTGGTGCTCCCTGGCTTGCAGATGTATCTCTCCCATCCCTGCCTCCATCGCTCCTTGTGTTCTCCTTGTCTCTCTCTCTGTCTTCACTTGGCCTTTTTATAAGGACAGCAGTCATTTGAAATAGGGCTCAGGGGTGCTGGTTAAGCATCTGCCTTCGGCTCGGGTCATGATCTTGGGGTCCTGGGATCGAGTCCCACATCGGGCTCCCTGCTTAGCTGCTCACTGGGGAGTCTGCTTCTCCCTCTCCCTCTGCCCCTCCCCATACTCGTGCTTTCTCTCCCTCACTCTCAAATAAATAAAATCTTTTTTAAAAAAAATATTTTATTTATTTGAGAGAGAGCATGAACAGGGGGAGAAGTAGAGGGAGAGGGAGAAACAGGCTCCCCAGTGAGCAGGGAGCCCGATGTGGGACTCAATCCCAGGACCCTGGGATCATGACCCAAGCCAAAGGCAGATGCTCATGCGACTGAGCCATCCAGATGCCCCAAAATAAATAAAATTAAAAAAAAAAAAGAAGAATAGGGCTCACTCACTCCAATATGGCCTCATTGTAAATAATTACATCTGTAAATATCCTATTTCCAAATAAGGTTGCTTTCTGTTCTGAGTGGACTTGGATTTGTGGGGAACCCTCTTCAACCCAGCACAGGATTATATGGATTTACATGACCGTGTTAGCATTCTTCAGAGGCTTAGCCCAGTCCTGTGGGTGGGGGGAGTGTTTTCAAACAGTCTGAATGTGGCAAGCACTTATTTAAGAGAACGTATGATCCAGCCCAAGTCTCCTTTGGATTTAAGCTGGGGCTTCCCAGGGTGCAGAGAGGATTTCCTGTGTGAGGAAGGGTCCTCCCCTCCACCTCCTATTCCTCCCTTCCCCTCATCCTCCCCACCTCTTGACTTCCCTCCACCATGACCCTTATTTCTAAGAATTGAGGCTCTTGTTGGATGAAGAAGGGAATAGTGGTGGTGGGCAATTTTGATTTTTTAATAATTTTTTTAATAATTGAAAAATTAATACATGTGCATGCTGAAAAATTAAAATGGTTCAAAAATTATCTTCAGTAAATATTAAGTCTCTCTCCCATGTCAGACCCCTGTGACTCTAGTTCCTTCTCCCGAGGGGACTGGCTTCATGGGCCTGTGATCTGGGAAGTCACCCAGACCCCATGCTCAAGAGAGCTCTCTGCTTGGTTCCATGCCCTACTGTCTTGAAATCCACAACAGTTTTTGAAACAGGGACCCCATGTTTCATTTTTGCATGGGGACCCCGCAAATGATGTAGTCGTTCCTGCTTTGACTGACCAACGTTGGCAATTTCTTGTTTGACCTTCCAGAAATTTTCTATGTATATTTGTAATATACATTATATATATCTTATAGATACCTATAATATTTATAATACAGTAGACATTATATAGATATATATTGTATATTACTTAAAAATGGGAGTGTGCTATACATGTTTGGTTTTTGTCAGGTACTAACCAGATCTCAGAGATCATTGCATAGCTGCCCATACTCCTTCTTTTAACAGCCGCAAAGCGTTCCATTGTATGTGACATAATTATCGACTCAGTGCTCTACTGGGGAACATTCAGGAAACATTCAGCATACAAACAATGCTGCAGGAAATGTCTTTATATACACAGATCCTTGTATTCAATGTGAATATATGTATGGAGGATAAAATCCTGGAAGATGTGCTGGTTTAAAGCATGCATGCATTTTGCATTTCAGAAGGTATTGGCACGTGGCCCTGTAATGTACTTGTGTCAACTTATATTTCCACCAGCCTCACTGAGAGTGGCTAGTTCCCTGTGACTTTGACAATATTCTTTTTGCAAACTTTTGGAACTTTGCCAGTCTATTAGATGAAAAATATATTCTACTGCTTTGACTTGAATTTCTGTCCATGTGAGTGAGGCTGAACATCTTTTCCTATGTTTTTTTTTTTTTTAATTTTTTTCCTTTTTAAAGATTTTATTTATTTATTTGATAGAGAGAGAGCAGGAGAGCACAAGCAGTGGGAGTGGCAGAAGCAAGCCCCCCTGCCAAGCAGGGAGCCCAATGCGGGGCTCGATTCTAGGACCCTGAGATCATGACCTGAGCCGAAGGCAGACGCTTAATGACTGAGCCACCCAGGCGCCCCTCCTATGTTTATAAGCTATCTTTTTTCCCCCTATGACTTGCTATTTTTCTATTGGGTTACAGGTTATATTTATTAGTTTGTAAGAGTCTTCATTTGTGAAGGAAAGTATCTTTTTTATGACCATAGATGTTGCAATTTTTTTCCCCACATTTTTTGTCTTTTGGCTTTTTAAAAAAAATTTTATTTTATTATGTTATGTTAATCACCGTACATTACATCATTAATTTTTGATGTAGTGTTCCATGATTCATTGTTTTCGTATAACCCCCAGTGCTCCATGCAGTA